TGCATTACTCATGAATGAAGACTCTATGTAGTTTGCAAGCAATGTAATATATACAAGCAGTGCTAGGATGTTTCTGCCTCCTTATATACAGGAATGAATAAATCAGTTTTAGAGTTCATGTTTGCTTTGGATAAGCAAGTCAATTTTGGGTGTTTTTTCAAACTATCAAGCCTGAAAAATGGGTCATGAAAATTCAAAATTACTTTATTTCCTGTAGTATTTTAACATGTTTTTATTTTGTCCTACAGAACAAATGTGCTGAAATATAAAAGGAGAAATAAGAAATGTAAATGAGAAAAGTTTCATTTGAAGTTTGGCCTTAGTGAAAGTTTAGGGAAGAGGAAGAGCTTTTTTTTTTTCCTTTTTCAAGCCAGCTCTCTAGTTTCCCAATCTTTTGAAAACTGAATGTGAGAGAACTGTGGAGAACAGGGAAGAGATGCTGGGAACAGCCATGCAGCACCCTGCACTCACTGGATCCTGGAGCTGACATGCTGTGCCATGCTGTGCACAAGGCATAGCATTTTAAAAGCAGCCTCTTCCACTGGATTGGAGGACAGACACCCAGTAGGGCTATTTAGGACCCTGGTAAGGGGCAGAGCAGTGCGGGGGAGGGGCACCATCCAAGCACAGTGTGCTCTCACTTCGAGAAAGTCTTTCACAGCAGGCTAGAGCTGCAAGTTGAGAGTGGCCAGAGGACCACTGAAGAGTCTGGTGGGATCCTTTGAAAAGTGAAAGGCTGACCCCTAGAGAAGCTTGAGGAGAAGCAGGAGTTTCCAGGTGATGACACATGGCAAATGGGATGTGGGGATTAGTAGCAGCAGCCTTATATCCAACCAGAAAGTGAGGAATCCAGATGACTGTATAAGTTGATTATTTTTTTTCTTTGGGCTTATACTTCCCTTTTTTCTGCTTTGGATTAGTTAAGTATTTATGATACCCATTTTGAATGAAGAGATTTTCCTCTTTTGAGTGTATCAAGGACTCAGTTGTAGCCTCTACTAAACTGTCAAAGAGGAAAAGAACTGAAGAGTACAAGAGGGACAGGAGCATTGTCCTCACAGTGGCAGGAGGCCATCGACTGTGTTTTGTTAGTCTGCCATATTTTTTTTCTTTTATCTGGGATCAAGTTTAAGCCCAAGCATCAGCCATTATTGAAGGTTTGCGTGCAGTTGTCCCTTCATAATCAGCCCACACACAAACTAAGAGCTGTGTGGTGTCCATAGAAATTGAAGACAGGCAACATTGCTGCTGAAGTACATCTGATGTGCTTAGGGTAGGGTAAAGGGGAGGTTGGAGCCCCATAAGAACATCGGCTTACAGTTATAGGATTACCATTAGTCCACTTCCCCCAGCTCGCCAAAATCTGTGATAACATCAAGTCGTGGCAGGAGAGAGCATTCCATCTGAGTGGTTTGGACTACAGTGATTCTAGACCAAATTGATAGCGACACAGGCCCACCATATTTCAGCCAGGCAGGGATTGCAGCCTCCTGAAGTAGAGCACTTGGACACCAAAACTTAAAATTAAACTTGAAGAAAATGAAAACCAATAAGCATGTTTTAACTGAGGTATACATTTACAAAAAGATAGTACATGTGCATTTTTTTCTATAGTGTCATGTGTATCCCTGAGCTTTTAACATGTGATGTGATATTGTACATTGGATATTAGCTCTTTGAGCATTTTTTGTACAAGTTTTCTTACTGTGGCTAAGGTGAGCTAACTAATGTAAAACAAATTCACATTTAGCATTTAAATTCTGTAGCACTATCAGAGAGGTCTGGTATCTGTAATACATAGGCCAAAGAGTGATAACGTGTGTGTGTGTGTGTGTGTGAGCATGTGCACATGCATGTGTTTGCATGTCTCACGTGCTAGAATTGGGCAATTGTTGCTTTAGTTATCAGTCTTTTTACCATAGACAAGAAACGATGAACCTGAGAATATGTTTTAGGGTTGGCAAGCTAGTCAACTGACCAGTCAAATATTGTCAATTCATTGTATATTTTTTGACCGGTCAAAGAGTATAGCAATGTTACCCAAAAAACTACATTTTTTTGTAGTTTTCTTGATAGAAATATGATTTTTAATTTTTTGACACATTTCTTAATGAAAAATGTGTCTTTTCTATGTATTATTTGGATCTATTGGCAATTTTTTACAATTTTTGACTAATATTTGACTGGTCAACTGATTGAACTTTATTTAACCGGTTAAATACTCAACTCTAACATATTTATAGGGAAAAGACTAATGTCCTTTTGTTCCCATGCCTTCTCAAAAAGTTCTTGAAAATTAGCAGTTTTTTACATATTCTCAGTTGAAAACACTTTAGGAAGGAATGAAGGTATGGGTTCTACCTCTAATTATGTGACTCTCCGGTATTCTAGATGTAACCAGAAGAAACTCCCTGGATGTATATGGTTAGAGAAAGCTCTTCATTTTGAAAATATATAAAATGCAAATAGATGTGTCAGCTACTTTTATTTAATGCTAGATTTTGTCTGAAAAATAAAACATGGAATAAACTGCAGTGAAGTCATTTTACTACCCTTGATGATGCACCTGCTTCCTAGATTTAAACCCATGACTTAGATATGTGTTCCAGCAGAAATAACTTGTGCATATATTTTTGAAGGCAGTCAAATCAATTTTTTTTATCTCACAAAAGAGAAACCCATACTGCTTGTCAAAGGTAGAAGAATCTCCTCCTTCATCCTCCTCCCTGCCTCTGCCAAAAAAAAGTTAGGTTTGCTGAAAAGGACATAGCCCCTCTACTTACTATTTCTGTCTCATCTTCTCTTATTAGTTTTGCTAGATGAAATCTTGGCCTCATTGACACAAAACACAACTTTTACTTCATTGGGGCTGAATTTTGACTCTGTACATATTTAGGTCTATTGCTGTGCTACTTTTCAATCCTTTTCACTGTGATTTTTTTCCTTTCGGTTTGCATTTTTCATAGTCTTTCTTGTTCAGTCAAATTTTAGACTTGGTGCTTTTGAGAGAATTGTAATGTGAGCAAAATGAGGGCTATTCTAGGTTTGAAATACTTGCTATTAATGGTTCCCACTTGTGTACAATTTTTTGTAAGTTGCTCGAGCACATTTGAAAAATGATTTTCAGTCTTTTTATCCTCTGAAAAGTTGAGGGGGAAATAACTAAGTGAGGACTTTTCTTGTAAGGACTCATGCTTTCTACTTTCTTTCCGCACATAGTGGGATAGCATAGAATGAACATTATAAGCAACTTTTGCAAACTCCAGTAAATTGTATGTATATATGTATGATTTATGACTAAGATAGGGTAAGAGGGTTCAGACTCCACAGATCTCCCCAACATCCATAAATTCTCTTTGCGACCAGGCTTGTGTGAACCAAAACTAACTGAGAAGTTTCCAGGGACTTTATGTATCATAATGGGAACATGCCTGTCATCTTCATTTAAAAACGGAATACACACTTTCCTTTAAAATATTGCTCCCTTGTTGTCATTGTAATTTAGCCTGGCTCCAGGTTTCAAACTCTTATTCTCTGATTTCTAATGTATGACTGAAAAGTTGTTGTGCCTCATCCGAAGGTCACACTAGTCATAATGTATTACACATGAAGGTCCTAGGCAATATATTACAAAAAAAAAAGATGACTCTGGGGACGGATTCATATGTGAGAACATATTTCCTGGTTTTGTGTAAGGCAGGCACAATGAAGGGTCTACACAGCTTTAAAATAACATATGAGGAATGAGTAGAAGAGGATGGCTCTTCCTTGTCTTCCTTTAGCAATCTTTTCAGAGAATTTATGAAACCTGGATCCACCTTTGAATAAAAAAATCCTTTAAAACTGGCCAAGAAAATTCTAACTTTTAAGAAGTCGTTCATGATATTTTCTATTAGTTAGGATGAATCACTTGATACAGCCACTTAAATAAATGAACCATGACTAGTTCTGGCAAATATATATATATATATATATAAAATATGGATTTTTAATTTTTGAAGGAAAAGGAGTGATATTTTGAAAATATTTTAATGATATACTCACAGACAATTTTTCAACAAACTTTAAATATAACTAAGTATTCACTGGCAAGACTAGAGGAATGTCTTTTAATTAGCTATCATGTAGTAGTCAGCAAAATATTTTTTCTTCATGTAACTAATCATAGTTACTACAATGTTTTCTGCAATATCCTTTAACAAAATGACTAGGAAGCTTGTTCCAAATTATTCAGTCAGAACAAGGATCTTTGTAGCTCATGTTCATCAGTGAGTATTTATCCTGGTTACTTCAGTGAGTTATGGAAGTGTAATGTAGAACAGCATTACAGCAGCAGCGTGGTATCCTCTTTTATATAGCAGTGATTTATTTTATCTTCCACGTTATTGGGAAATAACGTGATTGCAATCCTGAGGGATGGCTGGGATGTCAATTTCAATTACCATTACCTTCCATAGAAACAATGTATTCTGAGCTATTGTTATTGGCTGCTATGACCTGCCATTCAATACCTGGAATAGGTAGTGCAATATATGCACACAAATGGTGGGCACAAGGACAGCATTAACCTTTAAGATGAAATTTCCTGGCTCTTTTAGACTGAGGAAGTTTGCTAAATATTCCTTTTCAAAAACACTTTATCAGAAGGAGTAGTGGAGAGGGATATAGAACAAAATGTATTGTGAGTGACTGTAGCTTTTGGGAAAATATCCAGTTTGCTACTTGAGGTGGAAAATTGCCTAAACACCATTCAAGAGAATGGTGCCACAAGTCTTGGATTATTAGTTATAGGCCAAAATTACCAACTTGGAAGGGCAGGATGTGAATGTTACTTAAACTAATTTTATTTTTTCTTGTAACGTACACTTTTAGCCTGTTGCAAAGCTCACTGAGCACCCCAGACACGTTACTTATGTACGTGGCCTAAGTTTTTGCACAGTGTGTGTAGTAATATTTTTGATTGTGATTTTTAATGAAGACATGCTTTGTTTTTTTTACAGTTTTGTTGTCCTTCAAGCAAAGCAGCCTTCAAATGGGGAGTGACAGGTGTTTCAAATTTGGTAAGTTCTGAAAGAATTCCAAAGTAGATAACATATTCTGAACTTGTCTGCTGTTGACAGATTTTCTCTTATATAAAGTTGGGTTGAGAGAACCAGTTAAAAACAAACCTTTCCATGCGCTTTTATGCTTAAGTAGAACCAAATTCAAAGCTAAGATCCTGCAAGGATCAGATTTTTACTACCAAGTTCTGGCCAAGACTATAACTAGAAATGCCAAAGTACCAAATGAAAAGCTGTTCATAGAATTATAGAATCATAGAAGTAGGGTCGGAAGGGACCTTGTAGACCTTCAAGTCCGACCCCCCTCCTGGGCAGGAGAAAAACTGGGCTCAAATGACTCCAGCCAGGTAGGCATCAAGCCTCTTCTTAAAGACCCCCAGGGTAGGAGCCAGCACCACTTCCCTTGGAAGTTGGTTCCAGATCCTAGCCGCCCTAACTGTGAAGTAGTTCTTACGGATGTCTAATCTAAACCTACTCTCCAA